ACTGATTGCACAGAATTTTGAGTACAGTAATAACACATATGAAAGTCACCCCGAAAGGTAGATGTGCCACTGATAGTTAACAATGTCAAAAATGTTTCGACTTCTTGAAGGACATTCTGCCTGTTTGGGATGAGCAGGACTAAAGTAAAAGCTGATCTTACCTCCCTGCGGATGACAGACTGGGCGCACCCCCACATAGAGACAGACAACGGTTCAAACAGGACGGACAATTCTCCATCCCCAATGATCCGAACATTTTGTTTTGAAGGGAGAGGGAACCCGAGGAGTACATGTGGTACACCTGGGAGTTTTTCAGTTTGTAACGGTGCAGACGGTGCGTTTCCAGAGGTTTGGAATATTTTCAACATTGTCACCTCACTTATCGCCCGACTGACTGTTTTTCGTTTGTTTGTTTTCGATTGACATGACAGAAGTGTTTTTTTAATACAAATCTTCACTTCTATTATGACTTCAGCATTGGATTAGGAAAGGTTACGGTGGACCATGGCGTGTTCCGAATGACGTACAAATTCGGGTCACATCGCCGCCATAGGAACTGATCTCCAACGTGAAGTGAGAGCTCGCTGTCATTGTCACAGAAATACCAAAGAGCCACAACGTCGCTTTCAGTCCTGACCACAGACAAGGATATGTACACAATATGATCCTGAATATGCCTTTTTCTTCTGTGTCTCTGCAGAATTCCATTCGTCACAACCTGTCCCTGCACACCCGTTTCATCCGTGTTCAGAACGAGGGCACGGGCAAGAGCTCCTGGTGGATGTTAAACCCCGACGGCGGGAAGATGGGCAAGGCTCCAAGGCGGCGAGCCGTCTCCATGGACAACAACACCAAGTATCTCAAGAGCAAAGGTCGCATTCGAGGCAAGCGGGTCGGACGTCCTGGAATCGGAGCGGGGTCGGCCGTCGCGGGCCTACAGAGCTCCCCGGACCACGGCAGCCCGCCGCATAAAACTTGTCTACCTGGTTCTGGAGGGACCTCCGTGACGGACAGTGAGTTTGACGCCTGGACGGATCTCCACTCGAGGGCCAGCTCGTCCGCCTCCACCCTGAGCGGGCGTCTGTCACCCATCCTAGCGGAAGGGGAACCGGAGGAACCCGACGAGGGAGGCCTTTCCTGCTCCACCTCCCCTCACCTCTACCCGTCACCCACCGCCCGCTCTCCATCCATGGGGGCAGCCAACCGCTGTCCTCCCCTTGAGCAATTGCCTCAGCTGGCCAGCCTGACAGGCGCCATCAGTCTCGATGAACAGCTGATGGAAGATGGCTATCATCACCATCACTCACAGCAGCAACACCAACAGCATCCGTCTGTCGGCAGACAGAAGCACCAGACCTCGGTCTACCACTACAGTTTTGGAGTGAAGAGCCAGTCCTCCTATGGTCCAGGGGGGTACGGTACGGCGGGCATGGGCATGATGCGCCACCACTCGCCCATGCAAACCATTCAAGAAAATAAGCCGGCCAGGTTCTCCGGAACGATGCGAGCGTACTCCAGCACCAACGCCCTGCAGAGTCTTCTGACCGGAGGGTCGACCGGGCAGCCATACTGTCCCAAGGAAATGATGCTGGGCCTGAAGAGAGAAGGCCATCCGCTGATGTCGTGCAACGGCTCCAACCCTCACAGCCACCACGCCGGGCACCACAACGGCCACGGCCAGAGTCACAACGGACCTCACAGTCACAGCCACAACAGAACTCACAGCCATACACCCGTTCACAATCACAACTCATCTCACAGCCTCAGTCACAACAGCATCGGCCATAACCACACCCCGCCCCGAGCGCCGCCACTAAACCCGTGCGGCAACGGCAACCGGCTGCAGAGCTACAATCACAAAACTCCCTACCTGTACAGCCCCCCGTCGCACGCCCACCTCCCGGCGTCGACCACGCTGCCCCCCAACCCGGCAGGGATGCTCGGCATGCCACAGGACTCCTGCCATTTGGCCACCGCGCCGCATCCGCACCCCCGTCACAACCATTATACCGATCCACAGCACCAAGCCATGGCGAACGGACCCTTCCACCACGGTCAGGGTATGGTCGGCAGCAACGGCGCCGGGGGGTACCACCACGGCTACCACCAAGCCCACCCGCACGAGAGACTACCCGCTGACCTGGACATCGACATGTTCCAGGGTAGCTTGGACTGTGACGTGGAGTCCATCCTCCTCCATGACATCATGGACTCTGGAGAGGAGATGGACTTCAACTTTGACTGCTCCCTCGCCCAGGGGGTGGGCATCGGAATGGGAATGGGCATGGGTGTGACCATGGGCATGGGGATGGGAATGAGCGGACTGGCCGGTCCGCAGCAAAGCCACAGCAACCAGAGCTGGGTCCCCGGCTGAACTCTTGAGACCGCCCGTCTGGCGCCCACGAAAGAACAATCGTACCCATGAAGCACTGTGCTCAACTGTGACATTCCTGACTTGACACAGAGACTATAGGACCATGTCTTTCTTTGTTGTCTGTCGCCCCTTCCTCTTTTTTGTTTTTGGTCCCACCCCCCGCCCCCGACCCGCACCCCACCTCTCCCTGTGAGTCCCAGCTCATGTCTCATTTGGTATTTCCTCATATCAGCTATACTGTGATGACAATCTCTCAGCATCATTGCTTCTCATCCACCACGAGAGCTGAACTCTCCGTGCACTTTATCGCAAGTGCGTTGGCAGAGCGGCTCTTGCAGAACCCGGCGCGTTCTCCGAGTTGATAAAGTGTCAGAAGTCAAACTCAAATAGGACCCTTAATCAGTCATCGTCACAAGTGGGGACCAAACATTGCGAAAGATAATAAATAAACGAAAACACCTTGCCGCAGTACAATTGCGGCACAGCAACCTTAGCAAAAACTCAATAAATGCAAATCAATTTTTGATCCGGAACCGGTTTCCTCATAATGAAATTCATGCTCATGAGATCCAATCAATTCTCGCCAATGTCTTAGCGGTGGCGTTCCTGTAATTTACGGCCTCATACATCCGGACCTTGGCACTTTTGACTCTTCTGTTGGATGCGATGTTTCGTTAATGTCCCCTTGCCATTCGGCCAAGGCGTGTTGTCACTACATCACCAAATGGATTCTATCATTATTCGCTTGCATGCAATTTGGTGAATTAAAAACTTGTCTCACCTTGTCTCACCTGGGCCTCTGGAGCCGCTCGCTCTCTCGCGCTTTCTCGCTCTTGCACCGCTGTCTGGAAGTGTCTCTCTCTCTCTCTCTCTCTCTCTCTCCTTCTCCCTCTCTCCCTCTCTCTGTCTCTCTCCTCTCGCCTGCCAGCGGAGACAAAGTGGCCATTACTCACAGCGAGCCATTAATGGGGCTTGATTGAAATTCAGCATCTTGCTTTTAATCTCCAAAGTGATGCGGCAGCGATGCGTCATTATTGAGAATCTAACACATTGTCCTCCCATATCTCACCCGAGCAGGGGAATAGGGGTGGTGAGAGGGGGGTTGTTGAGAGAGCCAGGACGAACTGGTGCGATGCCAATGTCAGCGTCCACTTTTCGACCAGATAGAAATGAAGTTCGACCCTTAAAGGGGAACTTGAGGCAAAAACATTCTTTGCAAAAGTACATCTAATGTGGCCCCACTAGTCTAAAACATTCTAATGTTCGGAATCTTGCGAAAAAGAATTAAGTTATTTCAGTGTTTCATCCGTTTTCACTGCTCTCAAGGTGCTGCCATTTTGTCCTCTGCCGTCAGACAACCGCCAACTGAAACTGACGTCAAAGTGCCCTCGGGCTCGCATTGCGAAGGTCACATGACCAAACCCAGACAGCAGGTGAGTCGTGACGTTCGCAATGCGAGCCTGAGGGCATTTTTGACGTCATTTTCAGTGCACAACAGCGGTTGGCACGTGACAAAACGGCAGCGCCCCGATATGGATACAACTGGACGGAATCATCTCCTTCATTTTTATTCCGCGAATGCAAATAGGAATCAGAATGCAGTGTTTAGTCTACAGTGAGGTCACAGAGAATTTATTTTTGCAAAGAAAATGTTTGCCTTCAGTTCCCCCTTAACAGAAAACACTTTTTCGACATCGTTTTGCAGTCATGACGTTTCCCCGCCCCCTTTCACCCGCACCTTCCCATCAAATCACAGTTTGATCAGTTACGCCTTCGGACACGAGGTGAGAAGCCCATTCCCATCCCGCATCGGTCGGTACCTTACACGCAGAAGAGGAAGTCGGGAGGGGTTTGGGGAGCCGCTGTGAAAGGGGCTCGGGTTGATGAGAAGCCCGCAAAACCATTCACGCACATCCCACCCCACCCTCCCCCCCCTTTTTTTTTCCCCTGTGTGTTTATTGTGTAGATGTCGTCGTGTCGTTGCAAATTCTAAGGACCAACAGCGCTGACGTATGAGCAGTGAGGAAACTCTTGTCGGTGAAATGATGTCGGTAGTTGTTGCAAGTTTGACCTTCTTCCCAGACTCCGGTCGGTCGCCCGCCCACATCTGTGCTTTGCTCGATTGTCTCTGTGTTTGTGAGTGTGGGGGTGGTGGGTGGAATACGTGGGGATGTAGTGAAGAATAGAGTGGTGGGAAAGGTGGTGGTGGTGGTGGGGGGGGGGGGGTTTCTTTCTCATTGGCCTTGAAGGAGTCATAGCGACGACCCCCCCCCCCCCACTCTTCTTCTTCTCTCGCTCCTCCAAGGAGACCCTCGGTGCATTTGGGCTCGCAGACAAAAGCAAAAGGTGGGCTGTGGGGGAGGGGCGGGGTTATTGTTTGAGCCAAAGGTCAAAACATGGCAGAGACTATCAGACCATTAAGTGAGGGAAACACACCTCCAATTGCAGGGCTTTTCGGTCGCACTGGTTCCAGTCGAACGTACTGGTTGGGGAAAGGTGTGGAGCCTTCCCAGCAAAACGGGCGAGTTGCGTTCGTCGAAGCCACACGCAAGCGACACACGCTTCTTCTATCCGAAAAGAGAGCTATACGTGATGTCTAATTTTCCTATATTTATTTATGAAAGAGATTGGTCTTTGTCGAATCCTAAATGTGGTAGTTGTTTCAGTCAACGCCTGTACACCCCTTCTCCCCCCTTTCCTCCTGTTTTTTAAGATGTCAACCCCCCCCTCTCCCCCCTTCCTGTTTTACTTACATTTATTTTGTACAAAATCTATATATTAAGAATATTGTAAAATAGTTTTTAAAAAAAAATCTCAAAAGAATATCAGTTTTGTTGTCTATTTCTTTTTTTCAAGAGAATGTATCTCATCATCTGGTGACTGTTAAATAAATGCATTTAAAAGAAAGAACTCCAATCTGGTTGTTGTTGCTGACAGAAATATACACATGGTGCCCAAAACCCTCCCCTCCCAAAAAAAAAAAACCCGACCTCCTCTTCACACGGTCAAGTTGAAAATATTTATTTTCATTGTTTTTATAATTAACTTTTAAATTCTTTTTTTTTTTTTTACAAAGACAAAGTGATGCTATCCATTTGTGCAACCTGATTTTTTTACAGAACATACATTTTACAGAAATAATATCTTGAAAAAAATCTTTAAAATATCCCGTCTCATTTATAGTCTATGAAAGTGATTGAAAAAAAAAGCATCCATCCATCAAAACGGATGCGATTTGAATTCCATTTACCCTCCGTATGCATTCATGTCAAATCAAGTGGACTCTGGATCCAATCCAGATTGACACCCATTCACATTTAACATGCATTCACACATTTACAAAGGTCATCAAATAACATCAATGTGTTGTGATTTTTGCGTCCAGGATCGTGCGCGCGTTCACTCACTGCTTTTTCCGGGTGTCGACTGATTGAAGCCTTGGCGGAGGTCTGGCTTGACTTGGAGCTTTTGGTCCTTCGACGAAAATGCCTGCGTGAGGATGACAATGAGACCTGTGGCAGTCTGGGGACATCATTTGTTTTTTTTTTTTCAGTCGACGTGTGAAAAGCGCTGTGTGTGCATGTGTGACTGTGAATGTGACACACACACACACACACACACACACACACACACACACACACACACACACACACACACACACACACACACACACACACGAAGCAGGCAGCCAGATTGTGAGTGTCGGCGTAATAGGTGTGTGTCATGAGGCTCGTTATGTCCCACGAAGCGGGGATAGGTTGGCCACAGCTGTCCTGCTCCCACTGGAGGTGTTTTCACGGGAGGAGTGTGCAGCACTACAGCGCCATACCGCCAGGCCCCAGGGGATTCCCCCCCCCGCCCCCCCCACCCCCCACACACACATGTGCACTCACACGCGTATATTTAGCATCAACACAAATTTCCTCGATTTCTACAAAAAGGCATAGTTATGAAACATTTCGACAGAAATAATAGTTTGGGAGCTCCAGTAGAACATTGACAAGCAAGTTCAACTCTACTTGGATTTCAGATTGTGAGTGAGACGCGGGTTGAGCGCATTTGTCGCTTGGTGTGTTTTCAATCTTCCGGGAGTGAAATACGTGCTCAGTCGCATCTAGGTCAGGTGATAGTGGGAGCCATTGCGTAACATTCCACATCTGTCCCTTAACAAAGTCTTTGGTCGCTTTTGCAGTCTGCTTTGGGTTATTGTCCATCCGCAGTGTGTAACACCATCCAATGAGTTCTGAAGCGGAGACTTGAAGATGGGTAAGTTATATTGTCCGAAAGACTTCCGAATTTGTCCTGCAGCTTTTGCCAGCGGTCACATCATCAATAAATACGAGGAAGCCGTTCCATCGGTAGCCATGCGTGCCCACCTGACCACCACATGACCGCCCCCTTGCTTCGCTGATCAGCTGGAAGTGTATAGCAAGTGATCACAAAGTATGTCGCCATTGCAAGGCTTCAAACAGCCACTGAGCTTAAGAGTGGCATCAGCAGGTTGGAAAGAAGAGATACTGGAAGAGTCACAGAGAGTTATACAAGTGGACATCCTTGGACATTGAAGAACCCCAAAGCCCTTCAGGCAGCATTAAAGGGGCTACTGACTCCACTCCGCAATGACCTCCCACAGGGAAAGAAATGAGGAGCCGGCAAAGTTTTTTTTTTTTTTATTTAGATGAGCTAAAACTTTCCCAAGACGCTCCATGAATTCTCCGTGGGGCACGAGGAGGTCCACTTTGGAGTCTGGCATGGATCCAGAGCGAGGCTCTCCTGGGAGGTGCGCCGGGCGCAGCCTGCCAGCCATCCAGCCAGCCAGTCCACTCGGTCCAGGTGCTGCGCCTCGGGGAGGGTCTGCTCTTCTGTTCCTCATTATCGCAGAGAGTGAGAGTGAGAGCGAGACAGCATTAGCGAGTCATTACTCATCCACTCAAGCATCTGGGAGCAGGTCCTTCCTCCTCCGTCGTAGATGCTTTCAGACCGCCCTCCGAGCTAAAGGCCGGCTGGGGACGCCGCTAAGCGCTAACCGCTAGCGGACGGAGCGACCGTGTCCTTGAAGAGAGCTCGTGAGGTCTCAGCACTTCTTGCTCCATCAGATATCTTCTGATCATTCTTTAACGCTCATCAGTCACAGATGAAGTGGAGCCTATCCGGGCTGACTTTTGGGCAAGACGGGGGGTACGCCATGGACTGGTTGCCGGTCAGTCGCAGGGCATTGGTAGACAAACACCCATTTATGTTCACAACTTAGATGCCTTAAGAGTCATGGCTAATTTGCATGTGCAAATTCCACACGGAGCCAAGATTTGCTGAGCCCCCTTTAAACTGTGGTTATGAAAAAAAAGTCTCGATCGGTTTTGGAGCTTTTGTTCGCGAAGCATCTTTTTGAGAAAACTTTCACACAACAGTGGCACTTTTGAACTGGATTATGTTTGTTTGTTTTTTTTTGTATTCAAAGAGCTGAAAAACCCCACACGACACGACACGTGCGAGACGGTGGACAAGGGTCATCACGCAAAACCTTAAGGGCCTTTTAAAGTCGACCGCAAAAGGCCCAATCAATTAGCCCGATGTCAGCGTTCTGCTCGTCCTGGCGGACGCGACTCTCGCCATTTAAGTTGTTAATGCCGTCCCGTCTAGTCCACCTGGGAAGAGACTTTGCATTACCTTGGAAGGCTTAAATTTCGTCGCGTCAACGTAAACATGGCAGTATGGGCAAACATTAATAACAAGAGTTGTTGTTGAGCGCAAGTCGGCGTATTAAAAGAGCTGTCAATCATCCGCGGTCACTTCGAAGCGTGTCAGTAACTACACAGGAGCGAGTCTTCGGAGCGTACATCCCGATGGCATGAACACAATGAGCGCCCGCGTTATCGCGAGGGGTAATAAGGAGAGTCAATGCGACTAGCTTAATGCTAACATCGAGCGCAAAATGCCATTGTTCGCTAAAGGAAAAATAAAAAAAGAAATAAAAAAGCAGCGAAAAAATTTAGTCTTTGGCTATTTAGTTGGGAATACATATAATTGTTTATTTTAGATATATGGTATTGTGGGAGGGCTTCATTTGATAAGTTGAGCTTCTGCCCTTTCCTTTTTAACCCAGACATATTTTTTTGTGGGGGGGGGGGGGGTTATTTTTAAATCTGTCTGCTACCCCGGTGAGGATAAGTACTTCATCAAATGGATGGATGAAATGGATTTCTAAATCTTGCCGTGCATTAGAACTGAAATAACGTTTTTTTTTCTTCTTCTACTTTCGCTTCTTCAAATAGCATTTCAGTCATGAAGGGAATTTCGACAGGATGAGGTTGAAAAAAAAAAAAAAAGAGAAGACAAATTGAACTGCGAATTAGAATTCTGGATGATCTTACTTGTGCACGTCATTTTCTCCACCAAACCAAACAGTTGCCGACCATTTCAAGGGGAACCATACCCCCAAATTTTTAAAGCAAGACGAAATTGGACTTGTGTGGCATAGCATGAGTGAAAACACGCTACTTTGATTCATATTGTGCAATAAAAATTCAACAGAATCATTTATTAACCAATTTCCAAAACTCACTCAGAGCACCACAAAATTGCGAAGCCGCTTTATAACACACTACAGTATGTCGGGGCTCGGGAGGGATTCTGAATACAGCCAACATGTGTGTGCGTGTGTGTGTGTGCATGTGTGTGCGGACAAGCATTTGGACTGGAAGTCCAAATGGGTGCCAGGTACCTCGCACAAGTCCAATAATCTGCCGCAGATGGCGGCCTGATGGCAGCGTCTATATTTGGTAAGAAAAGTAGACGTAATCACGCAGACGCACGCACACACACACACACACAAACACAAATCCACGTGCGCACACGCGTTCCTGAATGACCGCCAAAGACAATCTTTACGAGTTTGTTTTTGGTGTTGTCGTTAACGCAGAAGGTTAGCGAGGAATCCGAAATAGTGCGGATCCCATCCTGCCGTGATGCAACGTCACGAAATGAGCGCAACTTGGCATGGTAGCGCAAAACACACTGGACACTTCATTAGGTACACCGACAGGGTCAAATAGCGCTCAATAAAAGAACTGTATCAAATATGATGGCTATTTCCAAGAAATGAGCAGAGTAGCCAAAAACTGTGCTCAAGTAGAACACGGTTACTTTTGAATAATATGATATGAGTCACAATATAAAAGAACGGATTAATGGCATTTCCATTCATTTCAATGCGGAAAGCTGATTTGTGTTCTGATGACACCATCAATGACATCATCAATGGGTCTCCACATTGACGTCCTGACTCAATGACAAAGACGGCGTTGCCGGCGCGTCCCTTGGAGACCGCCCGCAAAACCTCTCACCCCTTCATCCTCTTGTCCCGATGTCACCCTCATCATCCTCACCCCTCCCACCCGAGACACGTTTTTGCTCATCTCTTGAGCCACTCAGGAAGGATGAGAGGTGTTTGCGTGGGTGGGAGGAGGGAGGGTGACGCGTTGCGAGGCGGGGGTGTGTTTGGAGGGGGGGGGTCAATAAAGCACAAGATGACACAATTAATGTCAAATTAATGCTCCTCTTCGGTGTCGACATCACCCCCCTCTTGTGTTCTTTCTCACATGACCTCTGTGCCCCCCTTCTCTCTCCATCCTTTGTCTCCTCCCCCCTCCTCCAACCATCTCAGCTTTAGTTTAGATCGCTTTGCACACAGCACAGTGCTAATAGGGCTGGGGGTGGAAGGAGAGTGAGGGGTGGTGTGCATCTTCCTCCTGATTGGTGTCTCTAATTACGGCTTGATACTAAAGAGTAATTAATGAGTTTGTGGCTGATGGCAGCAGCTTTGGAGCGTCAGCCTTCGATGGCGGCGGATAAGAGCTGTTTGCGACCTCCCGCGGGACGCGCGCTCGCGCAGGCACGCATAAATAACGCAAAAGTGCCTCCGATTATTAACAGTCGCCCCCACACCCGACCACCCTCCCAAACTTCCCGTCGACAGCAGCAAGGTGAACTGAGGTAAGAATATTTTTCCAGAGAATGCTGATGTACTGCAGGTGGCACACTGTAAAAGCTCGATTGGTCTGAACCAACCTCAGATGGTTTCAGGAAACGCACTGCAACCATTCATTGATATTTAATACAATAACACAAAAACGTTAAGTATGAAAAAAAAGACATTTGATGATACCACAAATTACGCACATCCATCACATTGATATATATTATTTTCAGAAGAGCTCTACAGTACATAGAATTATATTATTAGGAGTAAATGTCTTTTTTTTTTTTTTTTATATATATATAAAAATGGACGGCGGGCCACAAATGGCCCCCGGGCCACAGATTGGATGAAGTAACCTATTTGAGTTGATTTGGTCATTCGGTGGCTAATGCCAACACGAATAGCAAATTTTGATGCGAGTCCGAGCTTTTGTTTCTTGTCTTGTTGCGGCTCATTTTTAGGCCTTTGCTTGGCAGTGACCATCCACAAAGACGGCAAAAGGCGACTCACCTTGTCGGCTCCCTTACGTGACCTTCAGGGAGTGTGTCACCAGGGAGGAGGGGTGAAAAGGTGAGTGAGGGAGGGAGGTGCGACGAACAAACGCATCAGAGTGAAAAAAAAGGGAGAAAAAAAAAACAGGCGCCCCCCCCAGTCGAGCGAGTAACTGGAGCAGACTTTCAGCATGGCTGCTAACGAGCCCACTGTCTCTCTTTCATTTCGCTCTCTCTCTCTTTCTACCCACCCCCGAACACACACACACACACACACACACACACACACACACACACACACACACACACACACACACACACACACACACACACACACTCTGTTCATTAAAGACTCACTTGTGTGTGTGTCTGTGTGCTGCAGGTTAGCATGAGAGATGCCACACGCACAATGTGAAGACGAAGCCGCCGTAGTGAGAGAAGCTCCCTCGTTTCACGTGTACCAAACTGGCTGATGCCTTTCCAACGGCAGACTCTTCATTAGGTACACAGTCTTCAAAAACAAGATGCCGAAACAAGAGCGAAATAATGCGGAGCTGAATATTTAGATTCAATCACACTCACACTTCAACCTTGAACCACAACAGCAAACACGTGCTGAACATTTTGTGCAAATGAAGGCCACCTGGAACAAAAAATGGAGGTACACAACATTGTGGAGCGACCACATCAGAGTCTCCAAGAAACTGTGGTTGGATTTAACCAAGTATAAAAAAATAAAATAAAATAAAATAAAATGAATCTGAAAAAAAAAACCCACAAAGTAAAATATTAAGTTAGCATTACCTGATTTAGCATAAAAGTTGAGCCAACACTAACAAGTTCTTACAAAACCATGTAATAGTTTTTGTCTACTTTTCAATATGAGCACCAAGCAAAACTATTTTACAGAGGTTAGCAAAGCTCAGGGAAAATGTTGCTCTGATAGCATAAAAGTTGAGCCAACACTAGCTAGCCACTGTAGCTCTTAAACAGCAACATGTGACATACCATTGAGCCGACGCGAGCTACTTCCTAAACATGTGATACGATTTTGTCTTTCTTTTCTGAATGAGCGCTAAGCAAGGAAATAAAAGAGGAACACTGTTTTGTAAACAGGTGTATGTGGTGCCAAGCTATCAAAATGGCATGTTTTAAAGGCACGTGTTTTAGAATGAAAGTTCAAATGCATTAGGAGTCTTTATAGAGCCCAACATGCTAAATCCACAAAAAGGCTGGAGCGGATATTCGAACGTTAAAAGCTAAAAAAAAAAAAAAAAAAAAAAAAAGTGTGAAAGAAATGTTGCCTTTGCCAGTGGAGAGGACTCGACAGAGTCACGAAGGGCCCCCTGGTGTTGGTCCCTCTGGTGGAGCTCCACTGTGGGAGTGCCTAGCTGGAAGAGACTGCAGGCTTGGCTTTGATAACAAGGATAGTTTGATTTAGAGGGCATTATCCTTCCCATTTTTTTCGGGGTGGGGGGAAGAGTCCAAATAGGCAATCAGAGTTTGGGATGAGGGACGATGAGGGGTGCGTGCCAGGGCATCCATCACGGCGTCGCGTTGGCGACCCGGCGGCCCGCCCCCCAATCATGCCATTTCCAACACACACTGTCAACATATGCGCACAAACAAGCGTGCAAAAAAAAAAAAAAGAAAGAAAAAAAAAGCCCAAATCTATTGCCAAGTGCAGCTCCCCTGCCTCCCAGACACGTTGGTCATGCCACACGCACACACACACACACACACACACACACACACACACACACACACACACACACATATACACAGACTCGCTTACTATTCCCTGGGCTGGAGACAGGGAACAGTGTGTAATACATTGCCTGGTGGTGCACTGGTGCTTGTGGGCTGTGTGTGGGGGTGGGGTGGGGGGGGGGGTGCGGGTGCAGTCCAGTCTAGACGGAGGCGATAGACATCTCATTAGGGCCTCTTCTGCGGCCGCCACCGGCAAACAGCGCGTCCTTGCTCTGGGGAGGTAAAGGAGGAGTGGGCGGCGGTGGGGTTGGGGGAGGCACAAAAGAGGGGCCAGAAGGGGGCGACAATCAAAGGCCGAGTCAAGTGAGGAGACAGAGATGCACATTAGACAATGATAATAGCAATAATTGTCTTGATCCTTCAGGAGAACAGCCCCCCCCCCCACCCCCCGCCTTTACTCCCCCTGCCTTGGCTACCGCAGGCGCTTTGGAAGGCTCCCGTTCCTCTTCCTCCCCCTCCATCTTTGCCTCCTGCTGCTGTTTCACTCTTAATTAATTTCTCACTACTCAGCAGGGCCCGCAGCTCAAGCTCACAGCGGGCGCGACGGCAGACTGATCTCAGATCTCGGGCGGCGCCGAAACGCCTCGCAGCGGCCGAGGGACAGAGGCGGGTCGCTCCATACGGCCTCAAAATCTGATCTCGGGACAAGAAATCTGGTGTCATAATTTGGTCAGTATATTTTTTGTCACAACTCGATCCTCTCGGTGAGTCCACACATGTGGGGGTTAATTTGACAAATTATTGACCAATCTAAAGTGCACCTTTCATCCTTCCTGAGTGGCTAAACGTTTATGATTGAACGGCATTTTGGGGGTCTCCTGAAAAGTGGTAATTTTGCAGGTACGGTGGTACCGCTACTTAGGAAATTAATTGGTTCTGGAAGCAATTTTGTGAGTAGAGACGCGTTTTCCATGTAAATGCTCTAATTCGTTCCAACCCCGTCCCCAAAATTCAGACATAAATGTCTTATAAAGCATAAAAATGTTGCCTTCAGGAAACTCGGAGCCGCGAGTAGCAGTCCATACTGTATCTGTACCTTTCGTAGCTTGAAATCTCTTTCGTAACAAGAAGCAATATTTTCCTATTGAGACGTTTCGTAACTTGAAAATTTCGTATGAAGAGACGTTCGTAAGTAGAGGTACCACTATACAAGAATTCCGCCCAGCGATGTTTTTTTCCGGTCTTGCGGCTTTTCCCCATTGGCTAATTGTTTTGTAATGCATCCCCTGCAACGAAGCGGAGTTGACTTGCGTTTTTGCAATTGTGCCAATTATCGCCGTGTGAAGCGCGGCGTGGAAGGACAGTCGGACAAAGGAAGCGAGGAAATCTCCAAGGTCGCCCGGCAGCCATTGCAACACTGATTGAGAATTCGGGTGGAGGAAGCGCACGGCAGGAGCTCAAGGCCACGTTGTGCATTGTGACTCTTCTCCAGGGAAGCGATTACGTTGGGCCTTTGGGTTTCACCTTTAACCACGACGGCCGCCAGTTCGAGGGCAGCGCAAAGCCCAGAGAGCGAGCGAGTGTGCGTGCGTGCGAGTGCTCGCTTCTTTCCCATCTCTTCACGTCGCCGTTCAAATAGCACTTTAGCTTCTCTCATTCAGTCCTTTCATTTGCACTCACAAGATTTCCTTAAGTGGTTGTTTCCAAAAAAAAAAAAAGTAACATCTGACCTCTTCATAAATGAAGTACGGATGGATTTATTGTAGATGCGGGTCCGTGGGTTTAACCAACGGATAGGTGAAATGTTACGTTTATGGATTCGATTGGTTCCAACGGCAGAGGGTCGAATGAATTGCAAAGTATTTAATGGGAGCAAACTACATGAGACTCCTTGGTTTCAAAAGGCTTTTGACAATCATTGAAGAGGTTGTCATGAAATATATTGATATGAATTGTCATATTCCTTCTGTTAAAAACAAACTTTTTGAATGTACAAAAGTGACATTTCAAAGACTCTAGACATGTTTCAGTTTTTGTCGAAAATCCGATTTAAATCTTGAGCGAACGGGCCCCTGAATGACACGTCCATAATTATGTCGTGTGGGCAAGGTTGCGGCGTTAATTTTCAAGGTTGTGTGGTTAATTTTAATTCGATGCAGTTTGAGCCACTCATCTGAGGCGCCGTGACAACCACAACAAACGTTAGCTCGTGACTTCATGTCAGTCGTCCCTGGGGACGGCCCTATTCAATTCTTACCACTCTGACGTGTGGTATAACATCATGACGGTACATTTAGGTAATGACATCACATCAACTCCCCTCGCGCCCCTTCAGGTCGGACCCCCCGCCGAGGTGAACAGCGTGGACGGCGACGGTTCACTGGAACCCTGGCTCAAATTGAGAAGCGCTTGAAATATTGATGAGGTCTGTGCCGCCCACTTCGGCGCCACCATTCTTTTTGGCGGCTCATCTCCCCACCTGCTCCGAGTTTGGTCAATGTTTTGCTTTGTGATGCGAGCCAAAATTGGATTTATCAGCGACCTTCAAATTAAGTATTTAAGGTACGGTGATGCCCAGGCATGTGGGCAAGGAGAGCAACAGTTGTTTGTTTTGTTTTTATGACATTTGACATCATAAAAAGTTGAACAGTGGCAACAAAAGTGAGTACACCCCCACGTGAAAATGTCTAGCAAAAGTTCACCAAAGCTTCACAAGTTACAGAAAAAAAATGCATAAAAGTAACGCAGGAAAATGCATTAAGTTTGGTCCAAAATATGAGTACAGTCTTCACAAAACAGACATTTGACATAATTTTGAGTACAAAAAGTTCACATTTTCAAGAGATTGCAACAGCTACGTATCAAAAGTATACTCCATGATTAAATATTTAAAATGTAAATAAAAATGAAACATGGTAATCTAAAGAATGCACAACATACCAATATTAAATAAAAAATAATGTTCATCCTGAATACTAAAATATCACAATGTGGAAAATATGTCAATTATAAATAAATCACAAGATAAAGAAGAATGAATAATTTAAAATACTAATTTTTTTTTGCTGTATTACGTTGGTGGGAAAAGAACTCCTGGGTCGCCTGAGCAGTGACCTTGGACGTGACCCCAGCGTGACCTCAGTTCGTCTGAAGTAACCGAGGGTGCGAAAAACGCACTGCTTGAGATTCGTCACATTGGCGTGATGAGGCAACGTACACCGAGACGCCGCGTCGCCCTCAAGCAGGTCGCGCTGGGCCCGCCGTCCAAGGTCAGCCGCCGTGCTTCGGCAAGGTCACGTGACCAAAGGTCGCTTGGCAGTCATTGGGAGGAGGGCGAGGACGGAGGGCCTTTCAGGGGCTCTTCAGTGGCAAAAGTGACGGGGCGGGCCTTCTTTTGAGAAACAACATCAGATGAACAAAATTAATTGAGGAAAAAAAATCCTTACATTTAAACTCACATCATTTCTGGCTCGATGTAAAACGGAATTTTGAAATCATTTCATTCCCACACAAATGTTGATGCAAATTGTGATTGCTCGGCCTTGGCGGAGGTCTTCCAGTCAGGATGGTGAAATCTCCTTGATTTGGGTTGTTCCCATGCACCCATCCACATCCACTAGGTTCCCATCTCTTGAGAATTCCATGAAGGAGAGTTGCCCCCCCCCACTCCCCCAGCCCCCATCAGCACTTTGCCTCGCCTGTCAGTCGTCTCCGTTGGCAGGCTCGCACGCCAACGTCAAGTCCATGTCTGGGTGTGCGTGTGTGTGAGAAAACAGCCGTTGACCCCGCGCAGTACGTGTGTTTGTGCTCCATCAGCTGACAAAAAAAAAAAAACATACAGTAAGAAAAACCCTGTTTTTTTACATAAGCAGACGCAAAGGAAGATGTTGCATTTTGCTCAGAATAGCCGATCAGAAGATTGCGACTAATTGTATTGGCCCATGGCAGATTAGACTGACATGGCAACTACTAGATGCTGAAATCTGATTGGAAGAAACAAGAAAAACGTGACCAACCACATAAACGTAAGCAGGGCAGCCAAGAGAAAACGTTTGAAAAAAAAAAAAAAAAGAGAACTGAATAGACTGTTGGGTAGAAATGAATATCATTTCACAAAACAAATATCCAAATTTAGGTGGTAAATGTCTTCTGACAATTTTTAGGCAAGCGGGGAAGGCCTTGCTGGCCCTGCCCATGTACAGAGCAAAAAATGACATTAGAATTGCTCCACCTTCCAACAGCACATCAGGCACGATGCAATAATACAAAGTAAATACGCTATTGACCTTTTGGAATTGGTCATACAAAGTACAACGAACGAGGCTGCGGCCCGCTAAAGACACGCTCAGCAGACAAAATGGCACCGAGTGGGCCAAATCACTCTAAGTCAAGAATGTGAAGAAACAAATTAATATGTGGCTTCCCAAAAAAGCAATAGCATCTTTCCTTCATATAATGTAGAGAAAATAAGAAATAATCAAAGCTTACGTTCATGACACCATTAAATCGAATTGAAAAGAATGAAACAGTTTTTGTTACACGCTCTCCTTCAATGCACATTGCTGCTCATTTTGCTGTGTGCACCTTGGCCACCTGGGGGCAGTATATGACAGAAATATGGGGGGAAAATGGAAACCAGGCTCCTCTCTCAGCTTCTCTATATGGCAGTAATGTTAGTCGTTCTTCCAGAGGATAAAGAATACGTGCTTGTGAGTATTGTAATGTTGTCTGTCTACGTGTTGCACCACTGTTTGTATTCAAATGTGTGTTCATTCTTTTTCTGACATACTTTTTGCCTGCTAGCTCCAGCACGTCACAACGACGACACGAAATGTGACGCGTGCGGGTTGATCTTGAACACGTCGGCGCCTGCGTTGAAATGTTCCGAATGCTTCTAATTGGACACGCACGAGTGGGGAAGAGAGAGCAATTAGCGCCAAAAGACGTGTGACGTCTCGCCCGTCCGTCCCTCGTTGGCGGCGCTTCCTCGGCCCCTCCCCGCTTTGTCGTCAGCCTCAGTGGCACGCCGTTACTTGCACAATGCAGCGTGCTGAATTATTGATGTGCCCACGTGAAAGTTTGATGGCTGACTCGCGGGCACGTTGGACCAGCAGGCAGGCAGCAACGCTTTCACCCGTCAGACATCTCTCACACACACACACA